TATTTTATGAACTGTTAACAAACTCTCAAATATATATTAAAGGTAAAGGAAGAATGCCATACTTTATAAACAAGGGTTTGCAGGAACTGACGAATATTTTTCTGATTTTGAAATCTGGGAAAATGTTTAATAAATTTTAAGTTATCAATAAATACTTTGCTAGAAAATATCTATTTTTTATGTAACAATTTATTCTCTTTCTATTAATTTGTAATCTTCCTACAGCTTTTTACATTCTAACAACTTAAAAATTATTTAATTTTTACATATATTTTTACTTACTTATGTAATAAGAACATTGTCAAACGGCCTATTTCATTAATATTCGTTCCACCGCCCTAGCAGCATTTTTTGCAAGCTTTCACTCGTAACTTTAGTTTTTTCTATAGAAAAAAGGAAGTTCATTATCGCTTCGTTTATTTCACACTGCATTATTTATTTTGTTTCCTTCGTCCCAGCGCGTTTATTCTTCAGATAATTTGGAGAAAATAACTTTTGTGGTTGATTAAAGGAAATGGAGCAACAATTCTAAGAGTTGGATATGAATTATATATCTACTTTGTTTCGAAACGCTTTGCACTCTATATAATTTATTTAAAGGGCTTATCTTTTAGTGTCATTTATAAGAGTTTTACTTATTTATAAATGCCAAGGGTCCCTATTAATTATTCTACTTAGTTTTTATTATACTTTAAGATATAAGAAACTTTGGGATAATTGAGTCTCGATTGTCTGCTGCAATCAAATATCACAATTGTAGAAAGTGACGCATGTTTTAATTATTTTTTGTATGCCAATAAAATTGGACGTTTCATCGTCAGCATTGGCTCCACAACCCACGGTGGGTCTTGGCTTGCTCAAGGATAAGTCTCCAGTCTCTCCTATTCTTTGCCTTGACTTTCTAGTTTCGTACTCCCAACATTCTCAAGTCTTCCTCTACCTGATCCTTAAATCGTGCTCTGAGTCTGCCTCTCTTTCTCACTCCATCTATTCTTTGGTTATAAATCTAATATAAATTGGATGTGGTCGTCCTGGTCCCTCTCGTAAAACGTCCTGGTTGAACAATCTGAGACAATGGAGTGAGAAAACATCAATAGAACTAATTGATGGATTCGACCGTTACTTGATGGAAATTTATTTTATGTAACAATAAAACACTGAAAACTTTGTTCTCAAACTTCCACAAAATTTATTTTAAATCTTATCACTACAGCTGTTTCGGCTGATTGCCTTTCTCAAGTAATCTATTTTTGGCTTGGGTTTTTATTTTATAGTCTTTAATGAAATAGGTTGAGGAGGGGAGAACTGTTTGTCTTAAGTTGGTCACTCAGAATTATATCTGTGTTTTTTAATTTGTTGATTTCCATAGATTCTAACAAGGATAGCTTAAGGCCTTTATTTTGAATGTGAAGAATTTTAAATTCGTTATTAAAAGAATTATTGTAATCTAGAAGGTGAAGTGCGTAAGTAAAAACTGTTTTTTATTATTGAAAGCCCTTTTATGTTCCGCTATTCGTTTATTAAAGTTTCTACCGGTTTGACCGATGTAAGTTTTTGGGCAGTCGCCACATTAAGTTTGTACACACCACTATGTAAGTGTTTTTTTATTTTGGCTCTTGTTGTTTTTGATATATTGGCCTAGGTTGTTATTTGTTCGGAAAGCTAGTGTTATTCTTTTCTTTTTTATGTGTTTGGCTATTTTAGTTGATATTTTGCCTGTATATGTAATCGAGCAGAAGGTGCTGGGTTTCTTCTCTGGTGGTGAAAATACTAATTTCAGGGCTTTCTTGTGTAGTTTTTGATTTAACATTTTATTAATTGTTTGTTCGTTGTATCCGTTGTTTACTGCTATTTGCTTGATGATATTTAATTCTGTCTCAAAGTTGTTGTTGACATCGGAATTTCTGTTAATTTATGTAACTTACCATAATAGGCTGCCTTTTTATGTTGTGTTGGATGTGATCATGAATTGTGTATAGTCGTGTCAGTATGGGTAGGTTTATGAAATATGGAGAAATATGGAGTTTGTTTTTAAATCTAATAATTTTTAAATCTAAAAAGTTTATGGATTCGTTTTGTTCTGTTTCTATTGTAAATTCAATATGGCTATGAAGTGAATTAATATACGATAAAAAGTTTTCAGTGTTTTATTGTTACGTCAATAGAACTTTTCAGAACGGCTGCAGATAAAGTCAAATGGGCCATTATCATTGCTAATGTCCTTAAGAATGGGGAACGTTAAGAAGAAGACCTAGGAATGTATAAATAATTTTATCTAAAATTTATAGTCGATTAATTATATCAAATTTCCACGTGTTAAAAGTTTCCATTGATAGTTTAACAAAAAGCATATATTTTTTCATCGTTTTAACCGATTTAAGTGTTACTCATATTGCTATCACATCAACTGTTGCCTTTTTTTAACTTAATTAACTAATTAATTATTAACGCTAACATAAAATAGTATTTTTGGAAAATAAACATTTATTTTCATTTGAAATTATACCTACCTGTCTCATGGATTTCTCCATTTCCTTTATACTCTAATGCATTCGGTAATGGTGTGGGCGTTGTAATGAAAGGATTATTAACCTGACACAACCACAGTTGTATGCTGTCATGTCCATTATGAAGATTTAAAGAAAAAACTTACGTATTATTTGTAAAACGTAAGTTTTTACATTTTTCATTTGTCATGATAATCTAAAACGTTTTTGAAAACGCATACTTCTGTTTAAATAATGGATTAGCCTAGTTAAAATTAAAATATTCGTATTTACATATGAATAATAAAAAATTCAAGAATTTTAATAGGACCATCGCATTTAAGAAAATTATAAGCTTTTAAGCAATATTATCTGGAGTGCACATAGGCTTGATATCTGGTGCACTGGAGCATAGCAAAACATCTCATCGCTGATCGCGTCATAGCAGTCAGTGTAAACGTACACTAACTGAATTGTTTGTTTTTATATTTTTATTTTTCACTGTGATTTCGTAAATGCACCATATCAAATGGCTCCACCTATTAAATCTATTAGGAAATCGGAGATCAAAGAAATAATTAATTATCTGGAAAATAAAAAGTAGTCTGGATATGACTTAATATCTAGTTTAGTACTAAAAAATCTACCCAACGAAGGCGTAAGTTTAATAACTTACATATTTAATTCAATATTAAAAACAGGTTATTTTCCACTCCAATGGAAAGTTGCTCAAATTATTCTTATTCCAAAATCTAATAAAGATCACACGGAAGTAACTTCATATCGCCGAATTAGCTTGTTGCCTATTATATCCAAAGTATTTGAAAGGCTTTTTCTGAGAAGACTGGAGATTATTTTATATGACAGTAATGTTTTACCCAATTATCAATTTGGGTTTAGGAAACAACATGGTACCATCGAGCAAATTCATAGGGTGGTAAAGACTATCAGAAATTCGCTCGAACAAAAAAATTACTGTACTGCTGCATTTCTAGATATCTCTCAAGCATTCGACAAAGTTTGGCATGTAGGTCTTATCTTTAAAAGTAAATCCTTATTTCCTCATCCCATAAGCTCACTTGTAAGAACCTACCTGACAGATCGATTCTTTCAAGTCAAAAGAGGTGGGGAAATCACTAACCTGTTTCCAATTTGTTCCGGAGTTCCACAAGGAAGCATACTAGGGCCCACCCTCTGCTTAATATACACATCAGATCTCCCAACGACGACCAATACAACAATCGCTACATATGCTGATGACACAGTTATCATGGCTTCAAATTCTACAGCAACTGAAGCATCCCAGGTATTACAAAATCACCTACTTAAACTAGAGAGCTGGCTTAAACTGTGGCGAGTCCAAGTTAACAGTTTAAAATCAACACAAATAACGTTTACTTTAAAAAAAGATGTCGTGCCACCAGTTTCTATAAACAACACTCCACTACCAGTTAGTACCGTCGTTAACTACTTAGGAATTCATTTGGATAGCAAACTTAATTGGGGTCTTCACATCTGGAAGAAACGCCTTCAACTCAGCTTAATCTACAGGAAAATGTATTGGTACATGAGTCGAAAATCTAATCTAAGCCTGGAGAACAATTTTCCAATATATAAATGTATTTTAAAACCGGTATGGCAATATGCAGCACAAATCTGGGGTACAGCAAGTAATACCAACATACAAAAACTTCAACGATTCCAATCGAAAGTACTGCGCCAGATCTACAATGCCCCTTGGTGCATTACGAACCACAGATTACACCACGATTTACAGTTACCAACAGTTAGCGAAGCGGTATCTGCCGCAAACGCTGTATACAAGACCAGACTATCCTGCCATCCAAATCCGCTGGCCACGGATTTGCTCAACATTTCACACGAAAGAAGATTAAAACGACCAGACCCTTTGGACCTCTAGTAAACATGGAGAAACAGAGCATAGTGTCATAGTGCGGTTAAATAACGAGTTTTTATTCTGATGTTTTCTAAATCTTTTCTTGATTTTTTTCTTTTTTTTCCATTTTTTAGTCTTGTAATACTTATATGTGTGTCAGTGATGTTTATCTGTATTAAACTTTGTTTGTTAAGTTGAAGTTTAAATTAATTGTTATATCATATATTTATATTATGTCTTACCTGGATGCTTGGCACTGGGCGGCTTTCCACTATGTTATTGTACATAAATTATACATATTGCTTATTGTTTGTAATGAGACAGATTGCAATAAACATTGGACGTTAAAAAAAATTTCACTGTACATATTATAGTATATGTTCTTGTATTATTTCTTTGTTACTTCCTATGTATACATAAGTGACTTATTTATATTGTGCCATGACATGTAGTGCTTACTATGTAAAAATTGTCAATAAACGTATCAATTTATCTATCATATAACTCGTAACTCTTAATTATTGTGTACGCATCTGTTAGTAAGTTTCTGATAGGCGATTTGTTTTGTTGTTTATGTCTTTCTCCTACTAATTTATCTATCTCGGTTTCTATTTCAGAGCAAGTAACGTTTCTGGTGAAAGGTCGCCATTTGATGGATCATGCTGCGGTTCAGGATACCATACGGTCGATTCGACTCCCTTGGGATCGCCGGAGGAGGTCGAAGTTCCCAAATACAGGGTTGTTATGCTTGGAGACGCCGGTGTGGGGAAAACGGCTCTTGTATCGCAGTTCATGACATCGGAATACATGAATACCTACGACGCTAGTTTGGGTAAGTAATTATACTGTGAAAAGGAATATTTTAATACACTCTACCACCTTGTTTACAACTAAACAGTACTACATACATATTATGTATTTATTTATTCGTAAATAATGATATGCTTATCAAAATGCGTCTAAATTATATAGGATGATTACAATATATCGTCACTCGGGGTGAATCCGGACAATTTTCGTGGTTTTTGACAATAAATCGTTTGAAGTAGTTCTAATCATTCCAAAAAAAATTAGATACTTTAATATCTCCAGCATAAGGGATTCTGATAAAAGTTTTAAAATTTCACTGCCACACTTTAATTTTTTGGATTATTAGTGTCCAAATTTGCCCCTACGTGTGGGGTGAAACCGGGCATAGCATTATTTTGTATTATAAATCGTGCTCGGCCGTGAATAGGGGTTAATTCGGACAGACAATAATATAAAACTTTTGGACAGAAAAAGAATAAGATAAAAAAAAACATTTTAAATTTGAAAAAAATTTATTTTGACAAAGCAGTTTGATGTATGGAAATACGACCCGTTGTGATGTATGGAAGCGAAACGTGGACGATAACAAAATCAATCGAAGAGAGACTATGTGTTTGGGAAAGTCTAAGTCCTAAGGAAGATCTTTGGTCCTGTGCTAGATGAAGCATCAGGACAATACTGGATAAAAACTAACAAAGAGCTCGAAGAACTTTACCGAGACGCCAATATCATAAAAAAATAAAGTCCAGAAGACTCCAATGGGTAGGACACCTCAGAAGACATTGGACAGGCCCACTGGTGTGGAAGGAAGTCCCAACTGGAAGGAGACCACGCGGACGCCCTCGTATCCGGTGGCGAGATAGTATAGCAGGAGACCTAAGCACTATGGGCGTGGAGAATTGGATGGATGTTGCTCAAGACAGAAAACAGTGGAGGCATGTTGTAAAGTCGGCTAAAACCCACGAAGGGTTGTAACACCACAGAGTAAGTTAGTAAGTAAGTATGAATACAAACTAAAACAGGGCTCCTTAATTCTAACCACATTCTATAAAATAAGACTAACAAATAAAACTCAAAATTCCACATTTGAACTAAAAACTAGAAAACATTTATTCGATTCGAATATTTTTTATTTGAAATAGAATGGGAAATTGGTGTCGCTGACATCTCCTATCCGTCACTTTTTCAAGAATTTTAAAAATTTGACTCCCCTTGAATTAAAAATTTTTTCTGATGTGTGCTTTCTAAGAAAATTGACAAGATAATGATGTTGCTTCTTATCAATTACCTTTGTAACATTCCCAACATAATATTTATCTACATTCTTTGGTGAAACTAATTTAACAAGTACAAAAGTAATAATGTCTATAGAACAATCGGTCTCACTCATTTCAATTTGTTCACTTTCAACCTCAGCCTTTTCTTTAGTCCGCAGCTCTGTTCTACTTTGGTTATCCTAACTATTTGTTTTATATTCGTCAGTTTCCCTTTCTTCTCCGATTAATGGTTGTTCTAAATCTCTTACGCTTACCCCTTTACCTGTAGGCACCTGTAACTTTTTGCCCCGTGTTTTTAAACGTTCTTGGGTTGCGGTTCATTAAGAAAGTTTTGAAGAGTGTTGATCCAGGGTCTTGGTTTTCAGTTTCTGAAGGTTCACCAGAACTTTTTGATGACGTCGTCTGACTTTACTAGAATAATTCTGCAAGATTCAAAACCAGATGAATTATTATCTGTGATATGAACAATGGCTTCAATGGCTTTTTTAAATAGCCCAGGAAATTCAGACTTGGGAATACATCCTCTATTTTTGGTTTTCCATTCGGTAAGGGTATTTGCCACAACTTTTTAAATGGAGCAGAAAATTCTCTAAAGGAACGTATAAAACCAGTCGATTCCAGGTATATTGTTCTTAAAAACTGTAATAGTTTGTCCTTTTCTGTCCATATAGTTTTTATTAAGACTCTTTTATCGGAACGGGTTATGGGAAACCCCCATTCACAACATTTTAAGGAACTTTGTGCTATCATTCTTTCTTCTTGTGCACTAAGAGCATTTTGTCCACCTTGTTGAAATGTCGATTTGTCTTTGAGTCTATCGTGCAAAGTGGATTTTGGTACACGATAATATTCAGCAGCTTGTCTTAAGGTTTTCATTTTATTCCTAACATCAGAAATAGTTCTCTCCATATTTTCTGAATTATAATTCATAAAGTTTATATCTACTTTCTTTTTGTAATGTCGCACCATGGTGTCCAGATTCGCCCCACCTGAAAACAAATTTTTGCTAATTAATTTCTAAAAAAAAATTAGGCTAAATGCAACTATAATATTTTATACATAAATTGTCAACAAACCACTTAACAGTTTGTTGCCATTCTCTAGTTCTTACATATAATTGCTTCTCTTGTACAGCAGTTTCTTTTTAAGATTAAAAAAAAGGGTGACATTTAAATGTTATAAAATACGTACCCATGAGTCAACAAAACGATACGATGTCACGTACACCACTATATCTCGACTACTAACTCAGAACTCAGACCCAGACCCGACAAATTTTAGTACAAATAGTTGATTTGTGAGTTCGCGCATTGGTAACGGTGACGTAGAAGTAGACAAAGGCGGCTTTGTACGAATTCGCCCCTACTGTTCGGATTCATTCCGAGGCCAGAATTTCTGATCTGATTCAATAACTACGAAAAATTTCCATTCCTAACAGAATCGATGTTGTTCTCTTCTTAGGGCTCTTCCGATTTCTTTATGATATCAGCTCCTCCACATTCTCTTTGTTTTTTGCTAATTGACATGTAACTTAGTCAAGTACCATTTTTCTCTATTTTTATCCTCTCATCTCATTTTGCGTTTTTCTATAGTCCTTATGTTTCAGGCTCACAATTATGTATTAATTAGTAAGTCGAGTGTGATTACCGAGTTAACCGTATTCTCTTCATTCCTTAGTCTTCTTTGATGACTCTATCTCTCATTATGTGCCATACATTTTCTTCCCAGGCAACTAAAGGCCTTCCCTTTTTCTTCTTTGTTGTGGTATGTAATTTAAAACTTTCTTTGGTCATCTATCTTCATTCATTCGCTTGACGTGACCGTACCACACTGGTGGTCTCGTTTCAATTCTGTCTACACTGTATTTCTTTCATATACACTTATACAGTATTTGTCCTCCTTGTAATATCTTCATTCCAGATATGATCTTTTTTGGATACACCACACGCTCTTCTTAGAAAATTCATTTCTACTTCTTCTATTCTTTTTCGATCTTTTTTCGTGATTTGTCAAACTTCTGCCCCATTAGTCATAATAGACTCTATCAAGTTTGATAGATCATTTTCAATTTTAAGATACTCTGTCTTTGACATATTCATATTGAGCCCCATTTTTAATATTCTTTCTTTAATTAAACTTTGAAAATAAGGCTATTATCGAGCACAAGTTAATTAAATCTAGCCCAAGTACTTTCACTTAAAATAGCATCTTCAGGGACATCTGAAATAAGCCAAGAAAACGTTTTTTAGATGAAGTAAATTAGTTAACTTCGATAAAAAACTCGAAGTTGATGGATGAAAAAAAGTTTTTGAGATTAACGTTTTAGACTTACTTCGTCAAAATAAGAACTATCCGGCAAGCGTAGAATGTGGAAACATTAAAAATAACATAAATTATACAAAAACACTACACTAAAACGAGGACAAACAGTTTAAAATTACTTCTACGCTACATTCTCTGTCAGTATCTGGATGGATAATGATCTAAGCGGAAATGATACGGTGACATATGACATATGACAACTTTGATAGGCAGTCAAAGTTATGGATCTGTGATCAGCAAATATTAAAATTCTGTATAATATGTCATTGGCCAAAGGTCCAACTAGAACTACTACTGAAAAATCAGCTGATGACGTATGACATTTAGAATATTTTGATTTAAACTAGATTGCATAATCCAGATCTCACACTCACACCCGTCTGTAATAATAAGGTTGTAGGTTTGAGGCTAAATGAAGTGTACATAAAGTGTGAATAAAAGAAATAGACCAAACGATCTATTGGACAGTGGGTAGTTGACTACAATAAAATGGTCTACCAGGCACTGTCAATATTGCAAAATGAGAAGAAAATTGACTATGAAATTGAAATATTAAAATTAGATCAGAATTGAAAGCAGTGTGTAAATGGGTATAGTTCAAGTAGTTCAGTTAAACCTCAAGCCAATGGGGGAACTATAAAACTAATATGTAATAGCATTACTAAAGACCAACCGACAAACAGGTGTTGAAATATAAAACTGTGGAATTAGTATATGTAGATTATGCAGAGATATGAAGAGTGAAATCAACTCCAACTGTGGATCAATTGAATCTGAGCAAGCTAGTTGTGTAAATTGTTAAATACAATAGTAATGCTGAACAGAGCTTGAAATTGGTAGATTCTTAATGTATAGACTCAGTGCAGGAAGTCTAGACAACCGAGCTGGGTCCACTACGAGGCGAAGCTGTAATAAAGTTTTTAAAAATAGGTTTAAATTTAGTACAGTTTAAATTAATTTGAGTATTAAGACAATGAGAGTTTCCATTCGTTTCCTTTGTGATCTCCAAATCTTCCAATAGATCCAACTCCAAATAGTTTTTCTTTCTACTGATGTCATGCAAAATAGACGACCCAGTATTGATGTTGAAATTGTGTTTGGTAGACTCTAAATGTTGACCAAAACTTGAAGAGTTTGGTCTTTTTAAATGTTCTGATATTCTAGTAGATAGCTTTCTAATGGTTCTGCCTACATAAGAGGCATCACAATCATCACACTTTAATTTGTAAATACCACTTTTGTCAAGTGTGTTCAGCCTGTCTTCGGTGTTAATTAAAAAGGAACCTACAGTATTGTGTGACTTAAAGGAAATTTTGATGTTTTCAACTGTAGAAGTAAAAAGTTTGGCTATTTTAAATAGCCAAATCAAGCGAAAGTACTTGGGCTAGATTTAATTAACTTGTGCTCGATAATAGCCTTATTT